TTCTCAGGGTGGCAATAATAATAATGATAATGATAATAATAATAAAAAAATGTAACATGTATTGACAAGGATGTGGAGAAATTATAACCCTTATGTACTGTTCTGGGAAATGTAAAATGATGTGGCCCCTATAGAAAACAGTATGAAGATCTTCCCAAAAATTACAAATAGAACTATTATACAGTCCAGCAATTCCACTTCTGGGAACTTATTCGAAAGAACTGAAATCAGGATCTCAAGAAAATATCTGCACTCCCATGTTTTTTTGCAGCACTGTTCACAGTAACCAAGATATAGAAACAACCTAAATTCCCATTGACAGAAAAAGGGATAGAATATTACTCAGCCTTAAAAAAGAAGGAAATTCTGCCATATTCAACAACATGGATGAACCTGGAGAACATTATGATAAATAAAATAAACCAGTCACAGAAGGACAAATATTGCATGATTCCACTTACATGAGGTGTTTATAATAGTCAAACTCATAAAACAGAATAAAATGGTGATTGCCAGGGGTTGGAAAAAGAGAGAAACGGGGAATTGCTGTTAAAGTTTCAATTATTCAAAATGAGTAAGTTCTAGAGATCTGCTGTACAGCACCATGCCTATAGTTAATACTGTATTGTGCATTCAAAAATGTAAAAGGGTAGATATATTAAGTGCTCTTACCACAACAAATTTAAAAAAGTAGATCACAGGGCTTACAGCTAGCTGCAGGTCTTCAGAGCCTGACCTCACAGTTACAGTCTACTTTTCTTAAAGACCTTCAAGATCTGTTTTAGGGGGAGGTAAATAAATTTTAAAGGCCCAGAAAGAATGAAAATGTGAACATGGAGCTGTAGATTTATATGAAATAAAAGATGTTCTACAAAAGATATCCCGAAGTCTACTTTCTATATCTCATCCTTTCTACATTTCCCTGCTTCTAGGTCCCTTGTTGCAAATTGCATATGGTTTAGTATGCCCCACCCTTTCAAATTTCCATTTTCTCCTAACAGAGTTACACTTGCCTTTATCACAAATATATGTGAAATTTTGATGAACTTATTGGTTAAATGCCCGAATGTTGTGACCTGGTGGGAAGAGGAAGGTCCTGAAGGTCTGTTTTATGGATTTAATTTCATCTAGGACCTGTCCTTTGGACACTCAGAGGCTCCAGCAAACAACTGTGTTCTGGAGGTTAGAAAGGTCAGATTAAAAGATAGACAGGACACAGCAAAAGTTGAGTACTTCTTGATGACAAGCACAGCTGGAATTAATTTTTTTTTTCTAACCTCAAGAAGTGGTGTGAATTGCTAGAGGGTAGGAATCAACATCGTCATTCTTCTGATTTCAAACTATTACTATTTATTGCTTCAAACTCTTACTATTTATTGTTCATCATATGTCAGGCATCCTTCTGAGTGTGCTTCATACGAAATAGTTTATTTAATCCTTCCAACAACCTCATAGAGAAGGTAACTGATTACTCCCATATCAAAGATGAGTGAACTGAGGCCCAAGAGGGAAAGTAATTTTCCAGGGCCCCATAGCTGGTAAGCAGCAGAGCCTGAATGAACTCGAGTGATTCTGGCACCAAAGCTTTTTACATGCCCCGGAAGGACATCCTAGAGACTTGATGTGTAGACCTGTCTCCTCAGTTCTTCATGGCTGGCTAATTAGCTGTACCTTCCTGAGGTCAAATGAAGTGACTCTGAAATCAGTCCTTCCTCCAGATATCAGGCATTTAGCAGCCCCTGGCCATTTCTTCCTGGATAGAGATAAATATAGAAAGATCAATCTTGTAGAATCCATTCTGCCTAGTTACTGATAGTCATTCTACAGGAAACTTAAGGATTCAGGTATTTGTGGTATAACTATAATTATAAAGATCCCAAACAGGACTTCAAGGAAAAAATATTTGCTAGAGACAAATTCAATCACCTACTATAAAATGTGCTGCTATCTTGATTTCTTGTGAAGTTAAATATAATCAACCAATTACAGATATGATATATAGGAAAAGGCATAATTGTGATTGCAGAGCTTCTCTCTAATGTTATAAAGGGTTTCCTTGCTACACACAGCTAAGACAATCTTAAGATTCCATTTTCTTCCTCATTCTACCTCTTTGCCCTCTCTACTTTTGTCTACATTTATGTATTTCTGCCATTTTCCTACATATGTACATGTTCAGTAGTGTTAGAAAGAAATGATTTCAGGGTTCTTGTGTCAACTATCTGTCTCTACACACTGAGGTGTTTTTTTTCCTTATCCTTTAAAAAGCCCTTAGAATACAATAGCTCCATCACTTCTCAGCACGGTGACCTTGGCCACATTACAACCTCTCTGTCCCTTATTTCCCTCAAGTACTAAATAGATTTAAATTGTATTCACTTAATCCAAAAAAAGGACTTGGCACAGTGCCTGATACAAAGTAAACACTAAATACATGTTAGCTATTATTATTATTATTACTATTACTACTATTAACTTGTGGAGGAACTCACTTCTTCCCAAAGTATTACCAAGATATCATCTAGGAAATAAAACCTACATTTAAAGACTTTCAGCGTTAGTAGGGAGGATCTGACAGATATTAAAGTTTAAGATCCTTATTTAATAAGAGCTAACATGTATTGATTACTTATTACATGCCAGGTATTGGGTTATGCCCCATACACACACACACATGCACACACACACACACACACACACAAATGTACATACAGAGAGAGTCACTTAATCTTTGCTTTAACTCTACAAATCACTAAAATTACTTTAGAGAAACTAAGCAATTTGCCTAATCCTCCTGTGTAAGAATTGAGTCTAGGTTTATATCCAGTCCATCAAATATGATTCTTACATGCTTTAATTAGGAAAGAAATAATGCCTCTTACACTTTAATAGCAATCATTTCCCAGAGTTTTTCCATGTGCCATGCCCATTTAAATGTGAAGTTGCTCATTATGGCATGTGCCATGATGATTAAAATACATTATTTCAGGGGTGCTTGGGTAGTTCAATCGGTTAAGCCTCTGACTCTTGATATCAGCTCAGGTCTTGATCTCAAAAAAAGTTATTTCAGTGGTTCCAGCATTCTGGACTTAATGGATCAGTAAATTTTTCAATTTCAAAAATTGGAGACTTAACATAAAATTGTTGTTTTTAATTATTCCTTTAAATATATTCAATTTTATGAGGGAAATCACTATATCACCATTGATTTTTTTCTTTTGTGAATTGATATAAACTTCAATCACATATCAGATAAATTAAATAATGCACTTAGAATTTGGCATTCCTGACTCCTTGGCCAAATTTTTTATAGCACTTTAAAAAATTCAGATACACTTCACATAACATAAAATTTATCATTTTAAAGTGTACACGTCAATAGTTTTTAGTATATTCACTGTTTTGCAACCATCATCATTACCTAATTCCAAAATATTTTTATCATCCCACAAACCTCATACCTATTAGCGGTTAGTCCCAATTCCCCACTTCCTCATCTCCTGGCAGCCATTAATTTTTCTGTCTCTATGGATACAACCTCAGGCAAATCTTTTATCTCTGCACAAAATGGCTGTCTCAGATCTATGATTTGTTTTCTATTCCTTGCTGCCTAAATCAAACTGCCTGCCCAAAGCTTTACCTTGGTGTGTTGTTCCCAGTGGCATATGTAATATATATGATAGACAGCATGAAAGTACAAAATTCTAAGAGGTCCCATCAGGGTTAGCAAATGCTGCCATACTTAAAAATTTTAATATGAAGAAATATGTCATATATTTTCTATATTTCCACTGTCCACATTTACTTAGAGTTTTAGTTTACTTCTAATTTTAATTCCAATTTTAGATTTTCCTCATCTTTTCCTTCTCTTCTTTTGGTATTTATTCATATAACATGTCAAATTACATACATTTTGAACTTAATTTGAAGGCTGCTAATGTTTTCAGTAACCACTACGAATCAAAATAGTATTAATAAGGGCCATCTAATTTTTTTTTTATATTTACATATAATTGAGGTTCCCAAATTCTGGTCCAAATCTGTGCTATATTTACTTGCTCTATTCTCTGTACATCCATACGCTCTGTTCATTTCTCAGATAATTTCCATTTAAAATAGAAATTAAAATGTATTACTATGTTCCATTGTGATTTATCGGTTTACATGTCTCTGAATGGACTCTGAACTCCTGGAACAGAAGGACTTTGTTTATACCTGTTTGATTTCCAATATGGTGCCTGGTGCATGGCATGAACTAACACACCTACTGTTGTTGAATGAAGGAACAGGATTTAAATATACAAGCAAGCATATGTATCAAAATTTATACACCTAATTATATGTTATATTACATTATAATATTACATACACATCCAAGTTTTATAAGCTCACAGGTACATTAAAATATTTAATATTTAAAAAATTCAAAATGATATATTTGAACACCATAAAGTATTAAATATATCGAATTTTACATTGTTTGATTTTATAATAACCTGAAAACTAGTTATTACACACAGAAACACACTCTTACAGCGTAATTGCAAGATGGAGGAACAACGAACAAAGGGCAGAGTGGAGATGCAAGTCAGGTAAACAAACCTGTATTAGGACTGTGTAGCACTACTTGACTGACTTTGGCTATTTCTTTCTGAATCTGAATTTTCTGTGACGTGGAGATATTTAATACCATGCTTAGGAATCAGTTTAAGATTGGGGCTAATCTATATGAAGGGCCCGACACTTAGCAGGCCCTTGAGGAATCTTAGCGGGCACTTTATCCCTCAGACTTAAACTAAGTAAAGGTGTTTAATTTTTCTACACATTATGAAGCTTTTCCAATGAGGAAAACCTACCCGGATGCCAAATTTGCCAATTCAGAGAGCCCAGATAAAACAATAAAGGCATAAAATGATCCATCTCTAACTCCGACGGATTGCTAAACCCGCAGGAAGCGCGGGGCGGACCTCCAGTATCCCAGCATTCCTTGCGCTGCTCCCGTTGCTCTTCTACCGCATCTCGATGGTAGAGCCGGCCTCAGGGGCGCTTCGGCGTTGGTGTCTTCGGTGGGGAAAAGTGAGAGTTCCAACTTTCCTCTTGGCCTGAGAGGTTTTTGGCGCAGAGCGTCGTCATGTCAGAGAAAAAGCAGCCGGTGGATTTGGGTCTCTTGGAGGAGGACGACGAGTTCGAGGAGTTCCCTGCCGAAGGTAACCGGCTGGGCCCCGGCCTCTGGGCCGCGCGGACGGTGACTCAGGCCTCCGGGTAGAGTGAGCGCGGATTTCCCGGGGGCGCCGGCGGGAAGTCCAGACCCCTGCGGCCGGCTCTCGAGCTTCTGCACGCGCGACCTTCAATGCGACCGGCTTTGGGTTCGGGGTGTCTAGGTGGGCCTCGCTAGTGAGGCTGAATGCCTTCTGCTTCCTCATTGGGAGGAGCCATGGTGACCCGGGCCTCTAGCCCTGAGTCCGGGATGGTTGGTCTTTTTTCTTTTCTTTTTTTTTTTTTTACCCGCCACCTCGTTCATATCTACATATATCTCTTTTTTTCTTTATTTTGTAGTATAGCAGCCTTCCTTTGTCCTTAAACCACCCAGAATTAAATTGCTGTACCTGGTTAGGCCAGTATTGCTTACTTTTAGGACTTCACAAATGAAGCCATTTAAGTAGGATCAGGTGTTGGTGGATAATAACACGTTGTTACCTTATCCTTGTTTCTCATTTTTGATCACTTCAAACTAACAGAAAATCCTAAAACGTTACATTTTTATTAGTTTCATGGTTACCAAGAGTAGTTTTCTCATTGTAAGGGATAGCCAATAACTAATATTTATCGAGTAATTACTTGTCTGAGTGCTTTGCTTGTATTCATTTTAACAATTGTAGCAACTAGGTACCAGTATTACCGTTTTTCAGATAAAGAAATTGAAGTTTGGAACTATTAAGAAAGTTTGTCGAATGTCATATAGCTGGCTAGAAATCATGGATACCTTCTAGGAACGATGTACTGCTTCTGTTTATTTTTTTATAAATAAAGACCAAAATTTATTAACTGTTGTTGCCAGGTAGGTTTCCAGAATTACTTGCTTTATTATTTGTTATGTGTAGGATAAATATTTGTTCTTGTAAGTAAAGGCTGCTATTAGTAGCCTTTCTGAAGGTGGTAGGAAGAGAATTGTGATCAATAGTGTACCGATCTGTTATGTTAAGCAATTACAACTTCGCCAAAATTGTCCTAAGGTATATACCCCATTGTGATCCTATTGTGCATAAAAAACCACATAGCTTGAACATTTGTTCTTCTTATTTATGGTGTACTCTGTTATTTTCCTAAGTGGAAGAAGACATTAGTGTTCATAGGACTCATACGCTAACCCAAAGCACATTTTAGTTATGGGATTCATTATATATTGAGGGGATTGTTTTGTTGTTGTTGTTGTTTTGATAGTGGATTTATCTGTCCAGACATGTTTTCTCTCTCTATTTTTAAAATAAGATTTTATTTATTTATTTATTTGAGAGAGACCGCACAAGTGGGGGTGGGGGAGGGACAGAGTGAGACAGAGAAGCACACTCCCGGCTGAACAGGGAGCTGGAGCAGTTTTGGATCCTAGGACCCAGGACCCCAGGATCATGACCTCAGCTGAAGGTAGATGCTTAACCCACTGAGCCCCCCAGGTCCCCCAGACATGTTTCCTTTACCTCACTGTTAAGTTGGTTTGTAATCTAACACTGAGCTCTTCAGTAGAGAACTGGCTTATTGAGGGCAGGATCAACTTTTTACTCAGACTTCATATTTCATATAGCTTTTACCCATTGTTTATCACATACAAGGTACAATGGTAGGCACTTTGTTTACATTATATAGTGTAACTGTCACTACAACTGTGAGGAAATCGATGCTTAGATTTCAGAAGCTTGCCATTAAGTAGTCAAGCCAGGATCTGAAAGGTCTGTGTGACTCCCCAACACAAGCTTTATTTTTAACATTTAACAAAGTGCCTGGCACATAGTAGGTGGTTGATAAATGCTTGTTGAGGAGCACCTGGGTGGCTCAGTCATTAAGCCTCTGCCTTCAGCTCAGGTCATGATCCCAGGATGCTGGGATCAACTCCTACATCAGGCTCTCTGCTCAGCGGGAAGCCTGCTTCTCCCTTTCCCACTCCTGCTAGTATTCTGTCTCTCGCTGTGTGTCTATCTGTCAAATAAATAAAATCTTTAAAAGTAAATAAATAAGTGCATGCTTGTTTAATGAATAAACTTGCATTCTAAAGTACGTAGGTGAGGGACAACTGGGTAGCTCAGTTGGTTAAGCCACTGCCTTTGGCTCAAGTCATGATCCCAGGGTCCTGGGATTGAGTCCTGCTTTGGGCTCCTTGCTCAGCAGGGAGCATGCTTCTCTCTCTGCCTTTGCCTGCCACTCTGCCTGCTTGTGCTTCTCTCTCCCTCTCTCTCTCTCTCTCTCTCTCTCTCACTCTCTCTCTGACAAATAAATAAATAAATAAAATCTTAAGAAAAAAAGTAAGTAGTTGAGAATTGACTGCTTAGAGAGTTCTAGAGATAACTGAATACCTAATGATACACTTGATTTTTCTCAGCAACTTTGATTTCAGCAGCTTTTTGCAGAATATGTAGTTTGTTCTTATTCGAAGTTTATGTTGTGAGCAGCAATTTGTTCGAAGTCTTGGTAGTTATATAGTAAAAAATTCTTTAAAGTTAAGAGAAAAAGCAGAGAATTTTTTTTAGGAAGGAGGGTCTTAGGGAGAGCGAATTTTAAGCAGGCCCCATGCCCAGCACAGAACCTGATACTGGTCTTGATCTCACGGTCCTGAGATCATGACCTGAGAGTCGGTTGATTAAATGATTGAGCCATCCAGATACCCTGAGAATTCTTTCTATCTATCTATCTATCTATCTATTTATTTATTTATTTTAAAGACAAGAGCCTGTTGAGATCAACCAGTTTATTAAAATTAAGTAATTCAGCACTTTTTCAAGTCTTTATAGAATATTTGTTGTCTTCAGGTTTAATGTGTAAAACCTAGTTCATTTAGGAATATTTCCATTTAGAATGAGAAATAACATTGAAATGTCATTGTTTTGCTTAGGTTTCTGTGTTTCTTCTGTGTTTTATAATTTTAGATAGGTTTTCCTTTCATGTTAATTTGAATTGAGATTTTGGTGGGTACAAAATTAGCCCAGTAGGTGAAACCAATAAATATTTACTAATAAAAACGGCTCTTATAAAAAAAAAAACTAAGAGAAAAAACCTGGAGAAATATCACCAAGGAATTATTGAATTATTTCCCTTTTGAAACTGTACGTTTTTTGTTCGTTTGTTTTTTATGGCCAAGTCATGTTTTAGTCTTCATTGCTGTTCAGTGTGATCCATGGACCAGCAGTTTTGGCATTAACTGGCAGCTTATTAGAAATGCAGTTTCTCAACCTAGGCCTACTGAATTAGTTTGGACTTTACTAAGATCCTTTAAAGATTTGTATGCACTTTACAGTTGGAGAATAACTAAATGGCCCATTTTTAATTTTTTAGTATTTGAATTTTCAGTTCAAAGATTATGACCTGAATTATTTTCCAGGTTCTCTGCTTTCTTTGGAAATTCTCTTTCTTGTGGTTGTCTTTATAGTAAATGTGCCATTGTCAGACACAGTAACAGATACAACATAAAATGGCCTACAATCATCTTTTCTACTATAGGAGGTCTGATTTTCATGGGCCTTGTTGCCTCATTGCTCCAGAAAGTGGGTGATGGGTGATACCCATTGTGTAGGGTAGCTCGCAGTTACAAGAGACTGCTGCATGAATACCATTACTGAAGTTTGGTATCCCTGGTTTGAGTAATGGATTATCCATCTTTTGGAGGAATGTTGTTGCTACATCTCATCCCAGATAAGAACTTGTTTGGTAGGATGTCATTCAGTCATTTTAAGGAAGGGGAATTTCTGTTTTAAAAAGGAAGCTACGGTAATGTGTTTTTATGGAGCCTCTTTGTTTCTTTTGAATAGTTCTTCAGTGTGAGGTATACTAGTGGTGGGAGGGGTGATTTTCTGAAGGTCCAGAGAAACAAATGCTTCTTTTTAAAAACTTGTTATTTAGTCTGTGGATCTGTGTTACCTTGGCAGTTTCTCACAGTTACTCTAACTGATGGGTATATAATCTGGTCATTAAGAACTGTTTAGGGGCGCCTGGGTGGCTCAGTGGGTTAAAGCCTCTGCCTTCGGCTCAGGTCGTGGTCCCGGGGTCCTAGGATCGAGCCCTGCATTGGGCTCTCTGCTCGGTGGTGAGCCTGCTTCCCCCCTCTCTCTCTGCCTGCTTGTGATCTCTCTGTCAAATGGATAAATAAAATCTTTAAAAAAAAAAAAAAAAAGAACTGTTTAAAAATCATGTTTAGGATCTTTGTGAAATGCTCTCTGCACCTTTTTGGCTATTTAAACTGAGAATAGGCTTTGTTAGGAGGACACTCAGTATACTGTGTGTGATTGATAATAATTTTGGAGTCTTTGGCATGGTTAGAACTGGAAAGCAACTTAAAATCTAGAGAAGATAAAACTTGTCAAACTCACATGGCTAAGTTGGTAGTACTAGAGCAGGGTCTAAAACTGAAATACTTTATAATTTATTTGAAATGTCAAGAAATTTTTCATCAGAGAGAGATTAAAAGGATACTTAAAATATTTTCATTAATCACCTTCCTCTGACAATCAGAAGTGGGTGAGGAAAGAAGAGTGGAAAGAACAAGTGGGCCTTTTGGTTCTTTTAATCTCTTCTTTCTGTGCCAGAATTGAGAGGGGTTTTTTTGGGTTTGTTTGTTTGCTTGTTTGTTTTTTTAGGGGAAAACTTTTTAGAATATTTAGAAGGAAACTGAGTTTGCCTCCAGAAGTAATGATATTTACAAGAGAATTCTATTATACTAAGTATTCTATAATTTTTCTATGATCAGTGAAACTGCTTTGTTATCTGATGAATTCAAGAGCAGTGTACTACCTACCTTGCAACCCTCCTTGAAAAATTGCTGGGTAAGAGACTGTTACTGATGGAAATCTGTCTGTTGAGGCAGACAATAAACAAGCTGGTGGTTCCCTCTGGAATAACTGAGCTACTCTCACCTAACAAAGTAAGACATCTTACAGTAGTTCTTATCCAGGGAAGTATTTTTGGACATCACATTTATCTGACAGATGCAAATGTGAAGTAATGA